TGTAACTTTGGTCAAAATTTTAATCTGATCGGTTATATCTCTGCTAGATTCAGAAATTGTCAAAAAGAGACAAAGATACCCCTATGTAAAGAGAAATGAATCGTTTTGCAAAGAATAAAAATATAAGTTTTTAAAAATTAAAATTTGTTTAAATCGATGAAAAGTTGATTGAAGTATTCGAGAAATGCTTTGTGTCATTCTTTATTATTTACTCGCTTATATTTGAATATATATAAAAAGAAAATAATATTGAATTGTAGATATATTTAATCAGTTTAAAATGGAATCAGATGTAACACTAACAAATAATTGGGTTTATCGTCGATTTTTTCTTTCGAATATTCATTCAGCTTCTCGTCTATTTTGTTATAATACATCCGATGGTTTTACGTTTGGACAAATTAATCTCGATGTAAGTTATCAATTTGTAAAGAATTAAAATATAAGTTTTTAAAATTAAAATTTGTTTAAATCGATGAAATTTAGAACGATGAACTTTTATGCGAATCAGTTGATACAAATCATTTCGGTTTTCAAATAAATCATTTATGTTGGCTTTCAAATACTGTCTATCGACCATCTCGAAAACAGATTAAGTATGATTCAAAGCAAACAATACTTGTTTTTTTTTAATGCGTAAACGGGTTATGAAAAATTAATTTGACCATATGGTCGTTCATTTGTCAGCTTCTTAAAAGAGGGTGTATAAATTTGAAAATATTGGATGAAAATCAGAATTTAGTATTCTTTTCAAATATGATTTCAAAATTTTTGTATCATTTGTTATTTAAAAGTTAGGAACCGACCTTTCTGTAAATTAAGTTTGGACGAGCTTTAGCGCACGAAAACTTATCTAAAGTAGAAACAAATATTATTTCAGATACAGTGAGTGAAAGAAAAAACATAATGTGTGAACTAAGGCAATTTTTTCATTTTTGTAGGAGAAGAAACAGATTTTACAATGTGAGCTTGCCCATTCCTAAATGATTGTTCTGAAATTCTTGATTTGTACATCAATTTTCAGAGAGTAATCTCGCCTTCTATTCTATGCAAAAAATCAGTAATATAACGTATGCAGTAAACTAAAAGATCGATTCCATATCTGCCAAATCAAAAGCTCTAAAAAAAAAATGTTGCACCTATATTGGGAGACGATACAAAATTTTGATTCAAACTCAATATTTTCTAATATCTGTAGTCATCCTCAAGGAACTGAAAAACATATGCACATTTTGTCAAATTATCTTCAGTAACCGGTTATTATGATGTACCGTAGAAAGGCCGATAAGAAGACTATGGAAAATTTCAACTAGTAAAACATTCTTTAGTTTTGGTATGAGGAGTATGGGTCCTAGTCTTCTCTTTACTCATACCCTTAACCATTATTATTATTTCATTTAGAATCGGTCTAACAACTTTACCAACATTAAATCGAAATCAACAAGCTTCATTAATTTATAAGAATGAAAATGATAGTTCTACTATACAAGATTTAAAAGTAAATAAACTATTCTTTTTTTTTTTTTAATATTTTTGTTTTTCAAGTGGCTTGATGAAACAATACGTTTAACACCGTCATCAATTGATTATAATGAATCCTTTGATCAAATCGCAATTAGTCATTTAAATGGAACAGTAAAAATTTATAATGCATCTCAATATAGTTTATCTTATCAATCTACATTTGCTAATCATGGAGTTCTTCATCAATTAAAATGGAATCCTATCGAATCTAATCTTGTATATATAAATATTTAATCTTTTTTTTTTTAATATTAAAAGTGATTTTATTTTTAGCTTCTTCTTGCTCATCAAAACCGATTAAATATTTTTGATTTTGAATATAAAACAATTGGATTGACATTAAATTGTAATGGAAAAGAACATTTAGCTGATTGTACATGGAAAACAAATGATATTATTATTGGTCGACATCGACAACAAATACTTATTTGGGATAAACGAGCAAGTCGGTATGTAAATCTATAATAAATTTCATTTAATTACATATTTAAGTATTTAGTGAACCAGTTCGAAATGAAATATTAGATACATTTGGACAATTAGAAAAACTGAAATGTAGTTTAGCATCACCTAATCATTTAATATCAGTTTATGATACACGTCTTGCAAAGATAAAAATTTATGATTTTCGTTTTTTAACTGTAAGTTTTGTATTGAGTTTTTTTTATTTATTTAAAACAAAAACCTAAATATCATCATTTAGATGAGACAAGTTGAATCTTTCGATAAAATCTCATCAACATTTCTTGACTATCATTGGACAATAGATAAAATGGCAATTGTTGTTGCTACACATCAAGGTTTATTACATTGGATTGATGTTGATTTACCATTAAATTCGAAAATGATAAATAATAAACAATAAACAACAGTGTATTTTTTTTTGTTTTATGGTAGTTTCATTGAGTTCATTTCATATGTTTATTTTTTTATGAATACTTTTCTTCTCTTTCTTTGTTTTCTTGCTTCTATTTTTTATTTTTATTGTCGATATACTCAGGTGAAAATAAACGATATAAAGAACACTCTAATCAGATTAATAAAGGTGGAAATTCAGAAACAAACTTTTACAAAGACTTTTTTATTTTTGTTATATTAAATTGATGTTTGTAGTCATGACTTTTTACAAGATGCTTCCTTCTAGAGATGGAGAATTTGCGGCTAAAACGAAAAATTTTCCTACGATCAAAATAAAATAAATAATTCTTTTAAAATATAGATATTAGAAAAAACGAAGAGAAAAATAAGGCTACTACGCACTCAAAATAACATTATGTAAAATATAAACTAGGTTGGTCAATCACCAAATATAAGTGATAGTCTTGGTTCTTGATCATTCCAAAAGCGATTTATCATAACAGCACTATAGCTTAAAAGTTGTCATATTAGATTTTGTTTTCTATGAAGTACCTGAAAAAAAGTCGTACTTTTTAGTAGTCTCGTCGAAAATTCTTATTTTGATTCATTTTTAGCTAATATCATTGTTAGTGAACGAGTTTCTTTCACTAATTTCGTACGTGTAAAAATCAGAAAGAAATGGACAATATTCGGCGAAAAAAAGGGAAACAATCGTAGCTATGAAAAGTGTTGTTAGAACAATATAGTCAACAAACCCCAACATCTTTGTATAACGTCTGATAGCACTCCTTTTTTATTAAAGAATAAAATTCGTCACTGACAATATTTAACCTTCGCAATAGTTAAAATGAAAAAGAAAATAGAATTTTTGTTGTCAAACTGATTTATGTCAGTTGCTAATGTTGAGGCTTGAATAGTATAAACAGAATTCGTTCATAGTGGAATGTACCACTAGCTTATCTATTAATCCCAAACTAACTTGAATGAATACGGTTGTCTATGAAGACAAAGTATACAGAAAAGTAGTATTTAAATACACATTCAGTATTTTTTTTCTTGCTTTTTTCGAAAAATGTCTACAGATCTTGTTTTCACAAAGAATTGCGCTCTCAGGTTTAGGTAGAGTACTTCATAGAGCATATCTCGACGAGTATACCTGAAGGTATATTTTTGAATTTCTAGAAAAAATTTGCCAAGGCGAAGGAGCCTTTTAATTACTACACAACGCGATTTTACTGAATATGTTTTCATTGTAAAAAGATCTCTTCATATGTAACACATGTGAATGTTCGCTGCGTCAAATGAATTCTATGACCATGGTAATCTTTATTTCATATAGAGAACCTAAAGAAATTTTCAGGCTATGATGTAAAAGAGCTCTTGTGTAATTCCAAGATATGTTTTCGATAAAGAAACGTACTTTTCAATAGTCTGCGCTTTCCTATTGGCTGTTTCTCAAAATTTTTCTAACTCGAAATTGACACGTCGTTATGATGACGAAAGTAAAATATTGCCGATAGTGAACTTCGATATCATTAAAGACATAAGTACTAAAAACAAAATCAATAAATTAAAGAAATTATTAAAAAAAAAATTTTTCAGAGAGAATCTTGTAATGTATCAAAGGCTTTAGCACTAGTTGCCTCAAATTGGGATGGAACCATCGAGAGTGAGATGAAAAGTTGGGAATATGGACGAGAGCGAGAGTAATAGGTTAGATTGAGAATTAGCAAGATCACGAAGTTTCCTAACTTGTTATATTTGCCTTCGCTGAATCCGTCGTGGCTTGTGGCAGATCGTTTATTATGCATTTTAGGAGAATAAAGCAATGATTAACCTGAACAACAATGCCAACAGATGAAATGCTCTATTACTGTCTACATTTGAAGGACATCATAAAATGAGACAAAACATAATATAGGACATGCATATCGAAGGCGAGATGTATTGAATGATGAAAGAAATTAAACAAAAAGCAGTTGGATTGTTCTCTTTCGATAAATCCATCATGTATAATTTGAGCATGAATTTAGTATTTTGATTACTACGAAAGAAAAACTTTATTAGCTAATTTTCCACACTAAAAGGCTTTCAGTTAAGTATTCTTAAACTGTTATTTTATCTTTTGAACATTTTTTTATATGTAACTGCTGGTCATTACTATCCTGGCGGTTTCTATCATGATCACGACTTTTACGAACGTCTTGTATTTAACCGAGACTAAAATGAACGTTTTTATAGACTGCCAGATTAAATGAATCTAACATTCTCTATTGTTTTAAATCCATATTTCTGGTAAAAAATCAAGTTCAGAAACAGCGATACCTAACCCACAGTGACTTTTATACTTAAAACATCTTTTCTTAATAAAAAATAGCGAAGTCAATTTATCTTTTTTTTAAAATTCTTTACAGTCTGATTGTGCATTAATCATTATTTGTCTTTAATCTAAACTTTTTTTTTCTAATACTAAATGAAACAAACAATTGTAATTCTTTACTGATTTTCCTAATACAATAAATATAATTCATATGCTAATATAATTTATTTAAGTTAATAAAGAAGAAAATTATTTCTTTTTTGCTTCGCTACAAAAGTCGTTTGATCAGATGAATAGTTTATGCTATAATATTTGTTAGTAGATTTTGAAACACTTCATTTGAACACAAAGATTTTCCATATTGTTGAATATATTCATTTGGGTTAACACGTTTAATTTCTTTTCGTTGTTTGATATTTTTATTAACAGTAACATTAATTTGATCATATTCAATAATAATCTTTTTCGGCTGTTCATGAACATGATGTTCATATCGTGTTAGTGGTATTGATTCATAGATTATTTTACGTTTGGGATTGATAAATGATTTCGATGGGAGAGAAAACTCATTAGAAGCAATTGATAATGTTTGTAAATCATGTTTTGAAATTGATTGATTACATGGAGAAGATTTATGAAAAATTTCTCGAATGATAATTGGAGCTGGTTGTATTAATGAATTATGTGGATGCAAGAATTGTTTGTTTTTATTTTGTTGAATGGCAGAAGCTTTAGTTTTCTCACGAATAATAATTGGTGAAGGTGATATGTTATTTTCAAAACTTGGTGAAGATAGTGCTTGAGAACCTTTTGAAGAGTTGGATGTTATGTTATTAATATTATTTGTTGCTTGATAAGTTTGAGATAAATTTGTTGATGATTTATTCGAATGATCTGTGGGATTAGGTAAATATTCCCAATCGAATATTGATTTATCTGTAACTGTTGTATTATCATCACTGTTCTCATCGTCTTTAGTTATTTTTGGAGAAAAAAAACGAGAGGGTATTGATTTAGTTGAATCTTGTTTGATTATCATTGTTGATTGAATGTCATGTCTTTGGTCTTCACAATTTGTATGTTGTATTAATCTATTATTTTCAATTGATGATGATACATGACTTGTTGATGATTGTGTTCGTTGTTTTGTTGATGGTTGTTTAATTGAATTGGTAGAACCTGATTGATTGTTAAAATCTATTATTGAATAAAAAGTTTCATCTAAATTAAAACTATTTGCATAATCAACTAATGATTGAAATAATTGGTCATCAGGTACATATTGATCATGTGTTGAAGTATCGTTTTGTATTGTTGGCTTATGTTCCATTGTCGCATTATTATGATCGTAGTTCATAAATGATGATTTTATTTCAACAATACTTGATACATCTGTAAGAGAATCATTATCTGAATCATCTTGTAAATTTTTATTTGGAGATGGTAGTGTTTTTTGTTCAATGAGCATTGCATCAGTATTGAATCGGGTATCATTAGACCACTTATTCATATATAGTTCATGTTCCATGTACATCTGTATGAGCACCTTCGATCAATTGAACGTAAGTATCATTTTTCCTATTTCAATACTTGGCACGACACATAATTATCAATCGTGCGTGACGCTATTCAACATTTTGCATATACAAATGTCCTTAGAATTGCAATTATTAAAAAAGGTTAAGACAAGGCTACTTTTTTCTTTCTTCATAGTGATGATTGAACATTTATTAAACTACAATGGATACAATTAAAACAAAAAAAAAAACTTTGTTTCTAAAGTTCAATTAATGACCCATAAGAATCAATGACTGATATGAATCTCTTTCTTTGAAACAAATCAATTAAAATAAAATCTTCTATTTGATTACATTTATCAAAATTGAGATATTCTATTGATTGTAAATATTTTTCTGGTACATCAAATAATACTTCACCATAAATTTGATTACAGCCTGTTAAAGTTAAAGATCGAAGTTGATTGCAACGAGTAACAATTTCATTAAAACCTTCATCAGTAATACCATAGGCTAATGAACAAGTTATATCAATTAGATGAGGACAACTAGAAAGAGAATATTTAAAAAAAATGAATAAATAAATAACGGATGGACCATAATGAATCGAACTAATTGTAAATGCAATTTTCCTCTCATTTAAATTCTCAGAAAATATTCATTCATATACAAAAATATGGTGACACGACAGTTGAGCTCCCGACAATTGAGCCCCGACAGTTGAGCCCCGACAATTGAGCCCCCGACAGTTAAGCCTCCCGACAGTTGAGCCTCCCGACAGTTGAGCTCCCGACAATTGAGCCTCATATCAAGAAAAAAGTAAAGTAATAGAGCAAGATAATTTTATTTGAGTAAATCTACACTCATAGCAAAAATGAAATAGAGCTCTTGCTCGTTTAAAATACAAATCTCTTGTGATTAAATGAAAAGTTGAAGCTAACTGNGATGAGGACAACTAGAAAGAGAATATTTAAAAAAAATGAATAAATAAATAACGGATGGACCATAATGAATCGAACTAATTGTAAATGCAATTTTCCTCTCATTTAAATTCTCAGAAAATATTCATTCATATACAAAAATATAGAGAATTTCAAACTTTACAAAACTAAGAATTTCGCTTTTAAGAAGAATATTTTCTCTTTGCGTGATAATCCGAACATTTATATATAATGTATATTCTCACTGCAAGGCATTGTTGCTTGTACTTCGCAAAAGTATAGAGGACTTCGACAGTCAAGAATTTTATACCCAAAGATAAAGAATTTGGTGCTCTATTTTTTGATCCACGTTCTTATATCTAAGCTTCACTGAGGAGTTGAAAATATTGTTTATGATGATTTTTTAAATAGAGAATTTTTTTTTAATTAAAGTTCGTATTTGGACACCAAAACAATGTAGGGTTCTGTTTTCTACTAGAAGACGTCATAGGACGATTTGCTTTGACATACCGTACGTTGTGTAGGACATTACCACTGAATTATTCTATTTTGTAGAAAGCAAGGTATGCTATCAAAAATTTCGCCTTGGCAGGGCAAAAGATTCTCTTGCGTCCAACATACAAGGGATTTTTCATTGCATTTTTGACAGGAATAAAAACTTGTCTTTATATGAAGTGCGATATCAAGTATCATTTACACAATAAAAAAACAAACTCTTGACATCCATAAGGTTAACAAAATAATAATAAAACAAACATAAAGATAAAGAAGTCAAAATATAACCAATGCAAACAGATCGATAATAATAAAGAATAAGTTTTCTTTTTATTTTCTTGTTCTCGAATTTTCCATATGAATGAACAAATAACATGTTATCGATTTCATTCGGTAATAAACGTGTTCGAATGAATTTCTCAGTAGTGATGGAAAACTTTTTTTTCGTTTGTTTTTAGTTCTACAGTTGAATATATAGAGATTACCTCGAGATTAAAAAAAAACAAAAGTTCTTCATTAAAATGAAGTACACAGTTTGGTGGACCTTGATATTCTTCATCTTTTAATATATAAATAAAGAGCAATTGATTGAAAAATTACATCTAAAATCAGTTCAATCCATTATGACCTTTCCGTTATTTTTACCTGTAAACAATCGATTGAACACAATTATCATCAATCATATGACATTCACCTAATTTCAGACTATGTAAATATTTAAAAGTATAATTATTATTAAATAATAATTGAAATGATTTCGATAAAATATTCTTTAATCCTGATAAATATAATTCTTCAAGTTTATGAAAATTCTATTTAATTTTAAAGAATTTGAATTATTATATTGTTTTTCAATTATAAAATCTTACTTGAAATATAGAAAAATTTGAACCTGTCATATTTATACAAAACTCAATCGTAATTTTTCGTAATCGACGACATTGTGCTATATAATCTAAAGCTTTATCTGTTAATTGTGCACCATCAATTCTCAAAATTTCCAAATGAAAATTATTTTTATCGCATAAAACTTTAATCGATCTATGAAAGCAAAATAAAAATCTTCTTAGCAAAAAAATGATCTTCTTACTCATCATTAATTGCATTGATATTAATAAAATTAAGTTCAACTAATATATTGAGATTCTTGACAAGTTGTAAAATACCAAAATTTGTAATTCCTAATTGATATGAAGCTGTTAAATTTTTTAATTATAAATTTTTATCTCCTAGTAAACATAAAATTAAATCAAAATTTTTATAATTATTATCTTGTTGATAATCAAATACAATTGTTTCTAAACAATGAGAAAAATATTCAATTAAAAGACAAATTAATATTGGACCAATAAAAACATATCGAAAATATATTTTTTTAAGATTTAATGTTTTTCTCGAAAGTATATCAAACCATATAGACCATGTTAAAATACTTATATCATTTTTCCAATCAATAAATCTTATTGATTGAAGATATGATAAATGATTAAATAAACGAGGAACATCATGTATCGACATTAATGTGGATAAATCAAGATGAGAATAAAGATGTGTAAGAATTAAATTAGCAAATAATCGACATGTCGGAGCTATGTTACTGATAAGTTCACATGGACAAATAAAGGAAAATATATGAAGAAGAATTTCTTGTGGAAAATCAAGAAGATTTTTGTTCGAATCATATTGTGGAATAAATGATGATGAAAATTTATTGATGTGCATATGGTCACATGAGATTGTTGGTTGAATCTAAATATTTAATCAATTAATAGAAAATAAATCAATCGAAGATTTTTCAACGATATTTTCTATGTGTCATGACCCGCTATCGGTTACCCACAAATGAGAAAAGGGTTCGAACTTAAGATTAAAGAAAGCTGAGTCTACCCCTTTAAAGAGTACTATCAATCGTGTGAAATCAAAGCATTTCTATTCCTGAGAAGTCTTGAATATTTCAAACATTCGAAATCTTTCTTAGCATGGTCAACTTGAAAGTTTATCTTACATAATGTAAATCAGTATTAAAAAAAACAATATCTTCAATTAGATATTACTCGATCGAATATAAAGTGTTCTTTCAATATATGATCTTTATACAAATATTAGATATCTACGAACCAACATTATACGCTCACAAACCATCTGTATTTTTGATGAAACTCTGTCATATTCAATATGTTTTGAACAATTCAGTTGCAGCTAAGAAAAAAGATGTGAATGTGGACGGTGGTTTTTTCTTTACCCACACACACACCCACATCCATCAAAGTGCATGGCACCATAGATAGCACAACGACCGGATATCAAGTTTGGTTACATACATTTTGTATTTATCATCAGACGATGTCTGAAGATATATTTTGATTAGAATTCGTAGCATATGAATGTTGTTCAAAGAGATCGTGACTGTGATTGAATGGACGACTTTGATGAAAAGAATTCTCAAGTCGTGAATTTATGGGCATAATCTTTGTACCAAAGTACATTCTATACTTGTATTTACACAGTTGTCTCTTAGCACATTTATAATAGTTCAGTGTCTTCAATCTATAGACGAAATATTAATAAAAATGACACTACAAACGTTAGATGTCTTCCTTCATTCTTCTTTTTTTCTTAGAGAAAACAATGATTTATTCACCTGGTCAATAAAATTCATCATTATATTCGAATGATATTGTCTATTGATATTAAATCTTGTTGTTTGTTTTAGAAATTTTTGCTCATCAAGTTTATTAAAACATGTAGCTAATGTTTGTAAACGTAATAAAGCCAGATATTCTAAATTTAAACATTGTTCTTCGTTATCCAATTGTTGAATTTTTCCCCATGTCCAACCATTTTTACATAAAAAATTATTTTTCAATAGTTTCGAATTATCATTTATTTTTAACTCGTATTGAAGATTATCAATTAAAGTTGATACGGATCTTATAGAACTTTGAAGTTCTTTTATATCTGATCGATATTCATTAACACAACATAAATTTAATAGAGATTCAAGTCGATTTTTAACATTAATAAAACTTAATAATAATCGATTGTATAATAAATCTGACATATAGAGCAAATCTTTTCGTCAATAAATTATCTGACCTATGAAAGTATTCTAAACCAAAATAGATATCAAACGTCTTCTACTAATAAAAAAAAAAAACTCATTTTCAAAGAAAAAAAGCATGATATTTTATTTTAATTTTTTCTTTTGTTTTCTTCAACAAAAAAGATATAACTGTGTGAATATCATAAGAGTAACACACACAAGAGATGATACGCAATAAGAATTATAAAAAAGAAGAGGATATGGAATCACTTGTTGTTTCACTAAACTAGTTATTCTCGATTACCGTCCATAGGACGATTATCAGATGAAGGACGTCCATTTTCCTCGTCGCTTTCATTGGCACGCCAGCTAAAATTAATCATGTAAGACAATCAATCAATCTTCAAAAATAAACAAACCTATTTATACGTTGTTTTTCTCGTGTACGCCAACTGTTATTTTCATCCGCTCGTCGCCAACTATCAGACGGATTCGCCGCACCACCACGAGGGCTATCCCGTGTTTCATCTGTTGTACGTGCTTTTAATTTCCAAGATCCACTTGATGATGATTCACCTGAACGTTGATTTGATGGACGATCATTATCAGTTCGTGACCTATTTAAAAAATCAATCAATAAACAAATAAAACTGTTAGTGTAATCTCTGCAGGGTTAAAATGCGAAACACGATGTAGTTGCTATTGCTAACAGGAAGATTGTTTTATTCTATCTATTTTGGAAAATATTTCTTCAACATTACTCTCCAGAAATGCAATAAAAAAGTAATTCATAGGTTATAATAAGATNCCTGAACAACACTATGTTTTGTCCTTACAATATTAAAATTCAAGCCTTCAGTTAAGAGTCTTATGCTGATTTTTCAGAAGGTATGGAACCTCGTTGTTCCTGAAAAGTTCACCATGGGCAGAAATCCTTTATACGCGGGTACTGTACTCATTGAGCTCTACAAAATAACAAATACCCGATTCGAAACGGAGACTCACACTTGGGGACCTTCCCTCGTCAGTAGTAATATGAGATACCATACAATTCGAATGGTTTTAATTATAATAAGATATGTGGAACTAGAATTTGATGGTTTGTCTGAACTAGATCGAGACTGGATCAGAAAAAAATGTGCCGAGACTGGGACTACAAAAAAGAAGTTGTCTCAACTGGAACTGAAGATTACAAGTGAACATTCTATGGTTTTGAGCAAATTATCTTAAAAATCATATCAATCATAACATAGACCACGAGAGATGACCAAAAAAAAGTGCTAGTAATTGACTAAATAAATAAAACAAAAACGAATGTCGAAGAATTTTTTACATGTGATACGAACAAATTCTGGCACAGTTTTCTCTAGATTGGGATCTAGACCATTAAAAAAGAAATTACCGAGATCGGATCGGGACCTAAAAATCTTGGTCCCACATATCTCTAGTTATGATGTTCAAATAATTTTCTACTAAAGACTGAATCACTGACAATAAAAATTATGAAAAATCTTAACTTGTGTACTGTCAATCTTGTTATGGCATAGTCAATATATGAAATTTGTAGTAAACATATACTTTTTCTTTTTTTATAAGCAGACAATAAAAAGGAAAGCACAGACTAGAAAAGCATAAAAAAACATTTTATACCAAAAGAAAAAAACATTATTATGTTTTTGGCTTAAGGTGAAGCAAAAACTAAATTTTAAGAAATTATAATCGCACAATATTCATTCTTATTTAATTTTCAATCGTCATGTGAAGTTAATAATGATGAAATTTGTTTAGAAAGTTCCGAAAATTCTTTTTGACTAGTTTCACATTTACGTGTAGATTCAAGTGAAGGCGATCGTGATACTTTCACTGAACATCGAACTGAAACCGGTGGTAAACCTTGCGCACGATGACGTTGCTTTGATGGTACTCCTAATGGTGATATAAATTCATCAATTGATGATAATCGTGGTTGGGTAGCCATTTGATTAATAATCGTTTTTGCAACTTGTGTTGCACGTCTTTTACGTATTCGATCTAAATTGGGTGGAGGAAATTCCATGACATCATCGTCTTCACAACTTGAACTATTGTCAGTCACTGAAGATGATGATGGTGAAAAATGACAAGTTTTTCTAACTGGTAAGCTTGATAGAGGTGATTCAGCACAACGATCACATCGTCGGATCATGGTACTAACTTGAACACTTTTATTTAAAGTTTTTTCATCCTTACTATCGTTACTCTTGAGTACTCGAATAAGATCAGTTGAAAGACGACGTAATGGTTCTGCTATACCAATAGGACGAGCTGTCGATGGTTGTTCTAATGCTATGACATTTGTTACATATTGATGTCGAGAAAAAACATTGTCTGATGCAGGATAAGAATTAGTCTCGTTATTTGCTAAGAAATCATCGGTTTTTAAATCATGAGAACCTATTATAATGAAAGTTTGAAAACAAAATTATCGAAATAACTGTTACAATATTACCTATTTGTTGACTAAATTCTAAAAGATTTCTGAACAATGTCTTTCCAATATTTAATAATAATCTTTCTAGTCTTGTTCTCATAGTTTTTACACACAATAATACAACTGCAAGACCAACAACTAAATAAATAGATATAAAAAATAAATTATCTTCTTGATCAATTATTCTATTCAAACTAATTGTAAATATTGCTGTAAAACATAAATAAAAGCTATCAAATACAGATTTTGATGATATAAAATAAGTACCAATAAGAACATAAATAAAAATGGTTAATATTAATTGTTGTAATGTTAAATCATTATCATAATTAAAATTTTTCAATATATTTACAACATTATTAATATATTGTTGAGTTTTTGAAGGAGATATTAATTTATTTAAATCTTCTTCTTCATCATCTTCTTCAATTGAAATATTTAATTGTTTATCAATAAAACGAAAAAAAAATAATCGACGAATATGAAGAAAATATTTCGATGAATAAAAATGAAAAATAATCAATGAAATACATTCAATTATTCGTTTTATTAAATAACTTAAATCAATTATGAAAACTAATGTTAATGGAATGCCGAGTCCTGTATAAATCATTAGAAATAATTTTCCTAGATTGGTTTTTGGTATAAATTCATTTGAACCTTTGAAAATAAATTACAAAAAATAAAACTAACCAGACCATTCAGATACAAAAAGGATTTTGATAATTATTACCGATAGTTGTTAATGTTGTTACAGTAATAAATAAAAATTTCGAAAAATTCCATGATGAATTTTCTCTAAAATCATTTGGTGTGTTTTTGATTTCTTCTTCATATTGGCCAATATGTATAGAAACATATTTTATATACTGTTCTATGTCAAACATTTGTCTTTTTTCTATTATTTTTGAAATGAGGCGTTCTCGTGGAAGATTTTTTATTAAAGAAGAAGTTTCTTGTTGACCGGTTTCAATTTCTTGAATAATACTGGTACCGATTAGAATATAAGTTGAAAAAATTAGACAGATTGATATATGAGGAATGAAAAGCAAAGACCAATATCTAAATAGACAAATATTATTAAAAAGTAAAAGATAATTTAAGATTAGAATACATACTGAACAGATAGAACCCATTCACGAATGTTAAACTTCTTCGGCATTGTTAATTACCTAGAAAAAACACATTAAAGAACGATAGATTTATCTCCTTTTTATAGTGTTTGTACAGAAAAACACAATTCAAGTATTTGTTATTAACCTATATCATTGCGCACGCGTCATAGTATTATCACGATACAAAAAAAAACAATTTATCAATCCAGGATAGTTATTACGTTATACAATCTTACATAATCAAATGGGTGAAAGAGAATGATTTGAATATACTCAACGCATACTATAGATATGTAGGGATCGAATGTAAATGAAGGAAAAGAATAGATTTTTGTTGGTTACATTGAGAAATCAAGCTTTCAGACCGAACACATATTTCTCTCCTTAATTCTCATAAAAAGTGTTATTTCTATGAATACTTCGTACACACCATATTGCTTAGCAATATACATTTACATTAAAACGAAGTACCCAGCAGGACGACATGGCACTCGTCAAGACAGCATAGTGCACAGTAGGATGATATATACAATGCTCAGCAAGACGGCATAGTGCTTTGCAATATTCATTTTCATTAAAAATCACTTATCAGTGGCATGCATTTAGATTAAATTACAGTTCTAGGGTACTGTTCATCAAGATGCAGTCAACAAGTTGGCAACATTTGTTAAAAAACATTGATTATTTAAAAGTAGATCAGTAGAGCATCAGTTAGTAATTCGATTAAGCAATTCGTCTTATTGAAAATGTATACCGATAGGCACTAGAGAGTCTATCAACTTTTATAGCATTTCTGATTTTAGAAAAATAAATGAGAAGAAATTAGATTCGAATCAAAAGTTCTCCATGACCTTCGGCTCGAAGCGAAAAGTCACTGGCTGAAATTCGCACCGGCTCCAAAGTCACCTAATCCGATCGAATTCATTTATTCTCGACTATTTTATTTTATAATTTCTGTTATATCTAAAATAATAATTAATTATTTTAGGTGCATGTTTATTTCTTATTTTATGTTTATTATACTTTATTTATTATGAAAACTTAATTATTATACATTTGATCAGCATGAAAAAATAACTAAAGGGCAAAAGGTCACCTGACAAATGTCTACCATTTGATCCTAATGATAACCAATATCAAATTAACTATGTTTGCACCAACATCATCTATTTATGGCGATGATTCAATTTGTAAGAAAAAGAGAGATAGACGTACTTGCAATAGAGTGCGTCTGGTACGAGACCACTCCCGTGAGTGTTACTCTGAAAGTAAGAGCCAATAATAATTTGATTCTTAAAAGGCCATTGTCAAGATTGTCTGAACAATGCGTAGGATGTACTATTCACCAATAGCAAATAATCAAAAAATATAGAGCTGAGTCAATGATGAAAATTTCTTTAATCGGTCGGCTTTTATCTGCCGAGAGTCAACTAATCATTAACTCAAAGTTCATTTCTTACGTATATAATATACGATTATTAACTTTCTCAAATAGAGTCTTAAAACAAATCTTCTTAGTTCTACATAATTACAGTTCTGCTTTTTAAAGGATGATATTAAATAATAAATTCCTGTAATGCATTCCCATGGGATGTTAGAGTAATTTCAAATTATGGACGAAATATTATTTTGTTTCATGATGAAAATGATAAATCTTATGCTTTTGATACTTATAGTGTAAATATGGCTGTCCGCGGTGAAGTACAATTATGATACATATATTGAATGAACATTTGATAGCGAAAGAGTGTATATTGCGTTTTGTCAGATAGAGAAAGTAACGTCTCTCGTAAAGCTAATCCATCTAAATAATATGATATAGAACGATCTACACCACTACCAAACAAAAACTAGACTGCTACTGAAGCAAAACTCGAGTAGACAAGTCGGCTGATTGTACAAGCTTCTGAACATTTGTACATAATCATACATGATATCTGCTAAATGTACTTATAAGCTTACGTAGTGGAAAGAATAATGAATTTTAAATGGCAATTACTTATCTCGACTGACATGAGGATTAGCTGATCAGGAATCTAAATTATGCATTGCCATATAGGAAAACTCTCAACTGTTCATAATCGTTCTTTGTATCTTATCTATATAAGTTATGTGACGGTTTTTTCTGAGTGTCGGAAACTCCTTCATGAATGAAGTTAATTTGCACAAGACGACAATTAACTTGTATATGCCTATATCATCTGAGATATCAATGATCCTTTGTTTTTGTTTGACTCATTTATGTCCATATAAGAAAACTATCTATTGTTAATTGTTGCTTTGCACATCTATATAGATTCTGGAAGGAGTCGAATATCGAAAAATGAATTTCAGATTTGCATTCGTCACATTCTAACGATCTCGACAAACGTGTTCGCAATTTGAAATGATGGTTAGATTCGAAGAGCGAGTGGTTGAAATTATTTGTGAGTATTGCTTCAAGTGGAAGAAGAAGGATTTGCTTGGGAACTAAGCAACTGAAAAGCAATGAATAGCCTAGTGAACTTCATGCAGTCAGCTACCTTAAAAAATACATCTGTAGAGAAATGAGTAGTTCTATATTTTGTAGGAAATCAGTCAAATGAAAACTTAAAAGTAAAATCATTAAATGAACCGTTCAATGTAACAAAAGAATTAAATATGATTAAGATGAAAGATAAAAATGTATTATTTATATTTGTTCAGGAATGCGGTAAATCAATAAATTATACTATTTGTCATATTCATGCGTTTCACAAATCATGCTGATGATATTCGACATTTGGAATTTTTACATCCATCAGTTCTTGAGCTTTTTTTTTTGATTTACTAAATCTACTTAGTCTATGAGATCTGAACGAGCAATAATTCCAAATTTATATAAAATAATGTTTCATCTTCATTAAGAAACTAATAATGGGTGGGGTGAAATTTTTGAGACAAAATGTTTGTCCGTTTTTCACCATCTCGAAAGTATTCTAGATGAATGCGAAAAGATGGATAAGAATCAAAATTTAATACTCTTTCCAAATGATTTCAGAAATTCTGTATCCATTTTTTGTTACATTGAACTCTTCATTTAATGATTTTACTTTTAAGTTTTCATTTGACTGATCTCCTACAAAATATAGAACTACTCATTTCTCTACAGATGTATTTTTTAAGGTAGCTGACTGCATGAAGTTCACTAGGCTATTCATTGCTTTTCAGTTGCTTANCATTATTTCATTGATTTTACTAATCACTTGAATTAAAATCAATTTTAAAACCAATTCAAAATTTCTGAGACATCTATTTAAGGTATCTCTCCACTTCGAGGAGTTTTCTGGAGAATGGTTCTTCAAAACTGTCATCTATGAAGGACTGGATTCACAGTGGCGAACAATAGTTGTCCTTGTTTTTCTGAGATGACATGTTTGATCAAGCTCACATTTTTTTACAGGCACTAGACAGTATTTGGAGTGGTTATCTTTTTATTTTTCGTCCTTCGAACAAAAACAAAAGGCAAATGTCGAAGATATCATAGAAAACGTATGTTTTTTTTCTCAATAGCACTTTTTTGTTTTTGTTAGAGCTATCAAAAATTAGCAGCACAATGTATTTTGAAAAAAACATATCCATTCCAAACAGTTCACAGTACATGTAAAAAAATTCAGCTAAATCAGACGTACTAGACTGGAGAAACGGGTGTTTCTGTACACTTTATCTTTCATGAAGAGGTTGGTTTGAGAAAGATGCAAAACAATGTACAGTTTTTGCTAATTTGAGTTCTTGACAAATTTTTTGAATGTTTTAAGATAATTTTTGGATGCAAAAATATGCTCAGTAGACAGATAATATTTCAGACTATACAATGGTCATTCTTGTCTTTAAAAGCATACTACGACTTTTTCTGTGTCTTAATTTTTTTTTTAAACATATCATCTTATTGAATCACTGTAAAACAAATATATTCTAAATATGAAATAAAAACAAAACAAAGAATATGTGTTCTAATATTTTCAATCAATTAATGATGTTGTTTTGAATTGTTGAATTATTCTTCGTCTTTCTAAAATATGTTTTGCAAAACGTTTTGCTGCTAATACAACTCGTATTGGAAATTGTATTGATCGATATTTTTCATTAATATCCTTTAGACGATTTCCATTAATATTGATACATAGTAATGGATTATAATTATATGGATATACTTTTTCTAAAATACGTAATTGATTAGATACTAGATTATGCATTCCACATGAAATTTGTCGATTAATATCAGATATTTGAACAAATATTCGACAAAATTTTTTAACACGATCAAATTTAAAATCATCGTCAATCTTATAACGAAATGCATCATTATACATTTTATGTGCATACTAATTAAAAACAAATTTGTTTTATTTTTATTAATATTATTAAAGAAAAAACAAAGATCAAACTTACAAAATAATAATTTGATCGATCTGTTGGTATATCAGGCATATCACTAACAATTAATGCAATATAACCAGCAAGACCAATAATAAGGTCAAGTGAATGATCAAATAAATAAACAATTGAACATAATTGTGGAATAGGATTTTTATCATGTAAAAATTTTAAACAAAGTATAAGAACAGAACTAGCTAATAATGATGCATTAAAACAACTTGACCATGATTGGATGCAAGCAACATGAATAAATAAAGTTGCTAATGCACGAATCTTAAATAAATTAAAGTTTTTTTCTTTCATCTTTTTGTTAATAAAAGAAAAAAACAACAAACCTTAGAAGTATTTAATTGAAAAGTCTCACTAGAATTTAATTCCAAGTATAATTCAAGAAAATCAAATGCAAGAGGCAATTGAACTTCGAAATTTAATTCATTGTAGACTGTACGCATACAATCACCAATTTCACGTGGTTCAAATGCATTTGCTGAATAACGTGAAAATTCTTCCATCTTAATATATATATATAAAGAAACTTTATTTACAATAATAAGTTTTGAACACATACTTTAATATGACTACGATTATGGAATTTAGCAGCTAGAATAAAAAAACCCATCGCTCTTAGTTGGTATGTTCGTTCATTACGACCTTGCAATGTATCAATAGCATCGATTAATCTAACAGCATGTTGAGTTACTTCAGCTTTCATATTATTTTTACGCTAAAGGTAAATTAATAATGAACAATAAACAAGAAATCTTTAAGTTTATGTTTTTCTCTTTTTGCTTTACTTGAATACCAATTAGCCAATTAACAATAGAACAACGCCATGAAAGACGAACTTCACGTCTTGTTAAATCTGTATTAAACCACAGTACCGCATAGTTATATGTATATAATGAATGTAATTCAGATATCTATTATTTTGAAAGTTTGATCTTTGTTTTTTCTTTAATAATATTAATAAAAATAAAACAAATTTGTTTTTAATTAGTATGCACATAAAATGTATAATGATGCATTTCGTTATAAGATTGACGATGATTTTAAATTTGATCGTGTTAAA